TAGCGTCATATCAGAGATACAAAATATTCTATGCAATTCTACCAAACATCCAAATAAAAGTTATGTGTTGTGACAAAATACAATAAAGTTGATGACGATTGCAAATAGAGAAATACACATGAAACCATCCCAAAGTTTTTCACAAAAAATTCTGATTACACTTAAGTATATAGGTTCGAGCAACAGCAAGCGAATTCAATTTCTTTTTAATCTGCCAAATAAAGTTGAAATTTGGTTTGATTAGATGAATTTGAGAAAATGAAACATAAAGCATAACATTTTACAACAAATAATTCAGAAAAATTAAATTCTTGAAAAAAAAATTACCTGACAATGATTTTTGTAATCTCGGGCATGACACATTCAAATTTTGCGAAAATGTGATTGTTTCTTCATTAATTTTTTTTCCGGTTTGTCTCTTCATTGATTTTTGATTTATTGGTACTTTTAGAAAAGATAAAAATCACTCAAAAAAATCTAGATTCAGGATTTAAGGTCTGTTGAATAGATTAATTCTTTAGAAAGCAAACTTAAGTCATTCTTCAAGATGAAGCTATGAACTATTTCTGAACTTCAAATGAAATGAAAGTATATTTACGACGATCCGCAATAAGACCATACTATGGTATTTATACAGATTTTTGTCAGCTAGAAACTGATTTATAAAAAAATTACGATGAAAATACAGATTGAAAATGGAAATAATGTGGCAACACTGCGTCGTCTTTGTATTGGTGCGATGCATGCTGTTCCACTCATGCGTCGTGTCCGACGCTTATCCGTCAGTTGCTCGAAAGCAAATGACGAAAAACCGATTTGACAAGCGTTTTTATTATCGCTGCTTCCTCCCTTCCTTTCATTGGTGAAATGGTGAGAACAACCCAGCATTGACGCGAAGGGAAATTATTGACAATAATATTGATGATGTGAATTCAGAATTCAGTCTGCTTATGAGTATGCGCCATGTGTTTGATTTGCGCTCGATTGTTGCGTCCTGTGTTTGGGATTTTTCGTTACATGTCTGAATTTTGATATTTTTAATGTGACTCCCAGTATAGAAATTAAAGACTTAGTCCTACGTCAAAAATAAATTTGGATAGAATGATGCTTCACATCAATACGAACTCGATTTTTACAGATGAACAGTTTGGATTTCGCCATGGGCATTCAACTACTCATCAACTCTCAACCAATTTAATTCGAACGAACAAATTTTAAGGCTGCTCAACTGGAGTTGCCCTTCTAGACATAGATAAAGCATTCGACAGTGTTTGGCTAAATGTTTGATTGCCGAAATGAAAAAGTTTGATTTTCCACTCTATATTATGAAATTAGTTCAACCAACAATCAATACGTAACTATCGATTTTAAATTGGTTCACTACTTGACTAGCCTATTGATCCAAAGCAAACGATTAACGTACCCCATTCTAGTCGAAATTCTAGTACTACACCATGTTTGTTTTGATTTGCCATGAAAGTTTGACAGATAAAATGAGGGGTTCATGGATTTTTCTATGTTTCCAGGGGTGAATCGATTAGCTTGGGACCGAAGATATTACCAGAGCTGAGCCAAAAAGTTGAGCACTTTTCTTCGGGACCTACTAGTCTTAGAGTTACCTCTATGATTCAACATTGTTTACGACTACCTGTTAGAGCTGGAGTTCCTCAGAGTAGAATTCACTTCACTTCGGACCTCTCTGATTTGCCTCAGAGTTACCACAAATCTGTGTTCGTTGATGACACAGGAATTTCCGCTAAAGGAATAAGTCTTCATGTCATTTGCAGCAGACAGCAAACAGTTTAGATAGATTCTTCCCAGCCCTTCCAAAACTCGACTTATATTATTTCCACATAAGCTCAGAGCTTCCTTTTTGAAACCTTGTGAGTGAAATATCTTGGACTAGTACTCGACCAAATTAACTTTTAAAGATCATATTGAGGGCATCCAAGCCAAATATAACTAATACTTGAACAAATATATACAATGTTTTTATCTTCTTACAGGAAATCAGAACTTTGCCTCAAGAAATAACTTCTAATATATAAACAATTTTTTAGACCGGCCATGCTTTACGCTGTGCTAGTTACTGCACTGTCAGCAAAAAAAACACTTCAGATGAAGATGATTATGAAGATGATGACCTCCCTGGTAGAGTACTACCGAGGACAGCGTGTCTACTCATTTTACTAAATGAAATTCCCTGAGTTTTCCAGGATTTCCAGGACTACAACGGAACATTTAATACTGTAAATAGGATTTATTTGAGAAAACAATAAAAAATCTGCCACAAACGTTTTTACTTACCTAAAGTGCCATAAACAGTTTTAAATAATATATAAAACTTGCAATCAAAACTATTAAAAGTTGAACATTTACTAAAAAAAATTAAAAACTTAGCAAAATCATAAAATTGTTTCATAGATGTAAGGATAGTTCTTTTTTTCATTCGAGATTCTTAACTGAAAACAAAAAAATAAATAAAAAGCTACCTACTTTTACCAAAACATGTATAGTTAATAATTATATTATTAGTATAATTTAAATTAATAGTAATTAGTGCATTTCTTAAATTCAAATGCTTTAATTTTTAACAGAAATGCTGCTATTTTTAGGGGTGCCATTTTTCAACAAAAGATCTACTCACGTATTATGTTTTTCCATGTATGGGCATTATCCATAAATGACGTAGCGTATTTTTGAGTCATCTCGAAGCATATTTTACTACACCTAATACATAGCTGGTCACAACTTCTGAAATCCACTCTACCCTGAAATCCTACGTCATTTATGAATGTCATGAAAGCGTAGAAAGGGGAGTGCAAAATCTTGAATTACCTGGTAATATTTCAAACGAAGGTAAACGAGTTCCAGGAAATAATTTGTTTTACTAAGGTCGAGTTATCGCTTTTCAACAAAGTCTAAGATAACATAAATTTGCAAAATCATAGAATACAAAAAAATAATCTCGGTTCAAAATCTAAAAACAAATCCTGGTGCCAGAGATCTAAAAAAATAAAGCCTCAGGCACTTGATTTTGTTCGAAATCTTAAAAATATTTCAAAGTATGGCAGATAGCAATGAAGCTTAAAAGTTTTTTTCTAACGAGAACTTTTTTAAGAATGAGATATCAAAGTCTCGAAATTTAGATTTTTTTTTCTATCCTATATCTGGGAATTTAAAGAATTTATTTCGAATTTTCTCAAGGATTTCTTTAGAATCATCTCATAATTTATTCAGAGTTCGTCTCAGAATTTTTATCTGGCAGTCTCTTACAATTGACTCCATAATACCATAGAGGTAACTCTTAGACCAGAAGGTCCCGCAGAAACGTGCTCAATGTTTTGGCTCAACTCTGGTACTCTGAGGCAAGACATAGCTTATGAACCTGGACAATTTTGATTTCATAAGATTCTTATGGATTCCATAGGCATGCGTTATGCATTCCATAAGCACGACTTATGAATGATTATCCTAATACATTAGGTACTACCGAGTGACTTTTATACACCTTTAACCTATTATATTTCCCAAGCGTTGATAGACATGGAAACAAATCACGGAGTCAATAATCTGAACGCTCAGAATTCGAATCCGGTCTGCTACTTTTTACATTACTTTTTTTTTAAGTTACATAAGCTAACGTATGAATTCTATTTCATAAGCCAAACTTATGATTTACATAAGAAATCCTTTTGTCGAAATTTCATAAGTAATTATTATGGAATTCTAACGTTCCTTTGCATCAGTATACCTTCTTCGGTCCCAAACTAATCAATGCACCCCTCGAAACATAGGAAAATCCACGAACCCCTCATTTTATCTGTCAAACCTTCATAGCTAATCAAAACATACAAAGTGTAGAACTAGAATTCCAACTAGAATGGGGTAAGTTCATCGATGTACTTGGGACCGATAGGCTAGTGTGAGCCAATTTCATAATACTCTAGAAATTATCTATAGAAGGTTTAATTTTCTCAAAATAAGGGAAATGGCTCTAATGTTGGCCTATAGATCTAAGATTAGGCCCATCGCTAAAAATCTGCTGTTTATCAATTTAATCTAGATGAACGCGTCTAATGGATATTTTTTGGGCGCTATTGAAAATTTAGTCGATTGCTGAATTTATGAATGGGCCCACATTAGGGGCATTTAGGCCGACATTACATCCATTTTCCCTACTAAATTGGGATTGCTGGCTCTACCCCGTCTAGAAAAATGCTATTTGGAATAACTGCTGATTGAAAAATAGCCATTTGGTATAACAGTTTTCACGAATAGCTCATGTTCAAAAGAAGGGAAAATATACATAAAATAATGATTTACCTTCCTTATTCTGTTGAAGTACAGCTGAGATGGTAAAATATCTATTTATCGGAATAAGTAAACAAATTCTACATTTATCATGCTAAACGGCTTTATACCAAATTGAATTTTATGCCAAACGTCATTATGCCAAATAGGGTAGAGTCCGGTAATCTGACCGATTTTAATCCGAACACTTTTGAACCCCGCTAAGTTGCGAACTAAAAATGGCTCGAACGTCAAGGTTGTGAGTTAGCGTTACGTAATTTTAAGGGGGAGTCAAGCAATATTCATTGTTACATAGGGAAGGAGGGGGTCCAAAATCCACGTTTTTCGCGTTACGTAATTTCTGTACCGCGCCCAACCCTAATTAAAATACAATTTATCACAAAAACAAAACAAAAATCAGATAACGCTATGTTAATCAACCCAAATAAAAAAACAAATAGTAAAAAGCGAACAGAAAAAGGCTTAGCAAAATAAAAATGGTAAACGCTCCTATAGTTGCGTTACGTTAGAAGCGTTAGGTTTCTATAGTTGTGTATGGAGACTTCATACACAACCTAACGCTTCTAACGTAATGTAACCATAGAAGTGTTTACTATAATATAAAAATATATAAGTAAGTGTTGGCTATAATATATAAATATATAAGTACCAATTCCGATTTATTCCCACTGGTTTTTCGTCCACGCCTTCGACACTCCGCTTTTAGTTGCTCTTTAGTTAAATTTTCTAGAACATCATTACGCTGGGGTCTATTAACAAGATTATTCAAACTATGTTCGCTGTTGTTAGTTACAGACGATGGTTGTTTTGCTAATGTTGTTGTGTTAGATCCTTGGGCGCCTTTTTTGCCTACAGGCATGATCAAGTGTTAATTCTAGAAAGACAAAATTAAATAATAAATCAAGCAATTGTACAGTAAAAGTGGGACGTTTATTTATCTTAAGGTAATTGATTCAAATATCAACGTTACATTTTATAAATTTTAAATTTCAATGTTTAATTAAAACCCTATTTAAACCTTAGTTGATACCTTCATAATATAGAGAAATGGAGTTAGGGAGAATATCGAGTAAGGAGAGTTAACTGTACATCATTTCGCAAGGGTTCCATTAAGTACTAATAATTTTAATATCTTTCAATTGAAGGCGATCCAGTACTTTTTATTTATTTATTTATTGTTTTCAATCAACAGGCTAATTTAAGCCCCATGACGAATACTAATTTTAAAATAAATAAATAAATAAATAAATAAATACACTTAAGTCTATTTTTACATGATTTCTTCTTTTTACAACTGAGTCGCAATTTACACGGTATTAACGATTTCTCGATAACGATACAACCTATCCTATTGACTTGATTCGAACTACATTATCCGTTTCAAGCCATTAGTAATCGAATGGCATGCTTAAAAAAGTCACAATTTTGTGTGTATAGCATATTTTTTTTATATATTAGCATCTGAAAAATTAAAATCTTAGTAGGCTTTTTAACACGGTTCATATCTCCCATGTAAAAAGAAAGACCTGGGTGTAAATAAATAAATTTACACAAATTTTCTAAATTATGCAACTACAACTTCCAAAAGTTTGCTTTAGTAAACTGCTGTAATTTAATACGCTTCGGGGTTCTTTAACCAGTGGCGTCCCGTAACCTCACTTTTTACCTGTGCATAACGGGTATTCAACTCTACACATATCAATTTGTGCCGAATACTATATCTGTGCCAAGCGTGTCGAAGTGCCGCAATCAAGGTGTTAGTCTCAGTATACCATGAGTTTGCAACCCCTGCAGTTATGACTTTTGAGATTGTTTGTTTACAAGTTCAATCTCTCATGGATGGTTCATTGAAAAACGGAAAACGGAGATGTGAACATTCATTAATTACAATATTAATGGTATATGAGTGTCCTATTGAAAGTAAAATGAGCGCGTGTGGTGAGTTCATTCTTCCGCTTGGTTGAATGATGCAAAACGAGTGTGTCCATGAAGGAACTGACAAACACGATCACAGTAGTAAATATATTTTGATTACAGCAAGGATTACGAGTTCAAGCACTACCACATCATCACAAACATCGCTTCATATCTTTGAGTTCATCTCGGAAAAGGCAGAATTAGAAAAAAATATGTTTTTCCTAAATTTGCTCCCTGATTTCAAAAAATAGATATACGATCATGTTTTTTTTCCTTGGCTTGTTTTCCGTCGATCTTGTTTTCCATGCTGAGCACCAATGCTACCGACGCCAGGCAAACAGCTCCCACACCTGGACCCTACCTATCGACCCATCAACTCATGAACCGGGGACCAACGGCTTTACTTCAGAGATGTCATGCCTAAGAACATCCCGGCGGCGCCGACTGGGATTGAACCCAGGCCTTATTATCGATCATGTTGATAATGCTGATGATGATGATGATGATGATGTTGCTTTTGAAATATATTTCTGAACAAGAAACAATTACATTAGAAGCTGTGTTTAAGATTTATCTTCTATAATGTTTGCAAATAGACTAGGGTGTGCTTGACAAAAATAAACCTTTTTTCGGCGATTTTACACAAATTAATTTTAATATCACTTAAAAGTGGATGCACTTCAATCGTGTCGAAAATGTGGTGTAATTTTACTTGCCAAGAAGGACAAAATTATCATGAATACAGTGCATGAACTGACATTACGCTGCTTTTACTGCATTTGTTTATTTTTGCGGCCATAAAAAATTACATGAGATTTTCGACATGATTGAAGTGCATCCTCTTGGATGTAATATTAAAATTTATTTTTTGCTGTGTGAAATGTAAGCACAAATGTTTGCTTGTCGATGAAAATCATTCGATAAGGTTAGTTCTCCAGCGGACTGGCAAGTTTGGAGCCAAACGAAATGTCAAAGCCAGAGCCAATCGAGCAGCGCCTATCTTGATTACAATGGCAGTGTTGTTGTTGTTGTTACCCAGACAACCAGAATGCACGTATATTCAAAGTTGTTTTCATGATATACAAACAAAAAATTCGTATAGAATGCAAATAAATGGCTTATACGTACCAAAGTGGAGGCCATATACGTGCATTTTGTAATTTAATTTTAAACGAGTTGATTTAACATCATATACGATGTAATCCGATTTAATTTGTGATACAGTACGACAGAAAAATGAGTCATCGCATATAGGTCGGAAATTTGCGTTCTATACGATTTAACTTAAACTTAATGCGAGGTATGCCATTATAATATGCGATTTTGACTTAAACTGTAGCAATTTACGAAACTGTTTGTACATTGTTATACTGGTTGTTTGGGTAGGTTGTCAAGGCAGTTTATTTTGAATCCGCTCTTCTCTTATACTTTACCCTCTCTACCCAAAACCATAATGCCTCTAGGGTTTTTGTGTTCAGGGCATAGTAAAGGAACAGATGTGAGTAGACAAGATCGTTATCGACCTGTAGATTATAATTACTACAGTTTATGATATTGATATATCCTTTAAACTTCATTTGCAACGGGCCGGGGTCGGTATCGGTCTAGCCGGAAACATCACAACAACAAGCTGCAGCTTACCGCCGCAATGTTCTGACTTCTCTGCTATATGTATCGCTGCTCGGATCGACCGATCCTGGTCCTCACGGAATTGCAAAGCGTCAAACAAGCCCTGACATCCGAGGCCCGTACTCATCCCTGGGTACAGGCGACGATGAAGTCCACGCCACCAAACACGCTGCTGGGTTCCGGGACACTGCGGAATACCAGGCAACTCTGAATCTGACTTTCTGGCTGGGGCAGGACCATCTGCCCCTCGCTATACCAACGAAGCACCGTTACACGATGTCAAGCGATGGATCGTGAGCAAACTGTGGGAAGCTTGAGACGCGGAGTGAGCCCAAAACCGCTCCCTCTTCATCAGACGGATCAAAGGGACGATGAGGAAGTGGACAGAACCGTTGAATCAGCGGGATCAGAAAATAGTGTCGCGTTTGAAGACCAGTCACAGCAAGATCTCACACAATTTCGGTGGAACGCTCGGTGGAACGCCGTTCCACATAACTTGTGTCGGTTGTAGAACACCAACCTCAATCGAGCACATTCTATGCGTATGCACTCAGTATCAGCACCTGTAGGAACCCCACGGACCACCAAATAGCATACGCGACATGCTGGGTGATGATCCCTCCACACTGGCAGCAGTAATGCGCTTTTTAAAGGATGCTGCATTGTATTTTAAAGTTTTGTCTTTTTTTAAATTCCTTTCCTGTAGGGACATCTCGGTTTGGAGCTCTGTCTTATTCAAACTTTAATGTTTGTGTTATTAATATGCTTAATGTGGAGAATAATTTGGCCATACCTCGGGCCATACATACAGATTTAATGCCATATTCATACTCGAATCGGTTGAAAAATACACTTAATCTTCTATCTATTATTCTATCTAGTTTACTCGATATCTATCCATTGCAAGTAATATTTTGATAGGGAAGAGCGCTACTTCGTCGTAATCGCCCATTTCCGTTCTATCAAGCAGAAATCATCAATAATATCAATGATTTCACAATGCACAAAACAATAATACGTTTGTTCCGATGCGTTAGTTCATTAGCTACAACATAAATCCTATTAGAGCGCATTATATGCATATTTACGCTCATTGTTCTCCAAACAAAAGAAGTGCTCCTAGCGTATCCCCTTTTTCTCCGTTTATCCGTAGGATGAAGAAAATTTAATGGTGTTTCAATGCGTTTGGACGTAATTAAAACGCGTAGGACGAATAGAACCAAGAAGCAGTGTTAGATTTTTAATAATATCTCAACATTGTTTGACTCTTTATCAAATCCAACGGTACGTATGGAAAGGTGGATAAATTTAGAAGTTATCTTTGGTGAAAACATTCCATGTTTTGTTCAAACCCTTTCCAAAAAGCGTGGTAAAGTGCGGGATGTCCTTAGTAGGACGGAAATTAGATCAAAAACCCTAATTGTTTATGTTGTGAGAGTGCACAGGTAGATTGAGGTTAAGGAAACGCCACTGTCTTTAACACTAGAAATACTGGGAGCAAAATCCTAACGCGGAATACCAGGTTCACGAATCACTCGGTCCTAAATGATCAACTAGCTGGATCTCGGTGGTTTCGCAACCAATTTTTAAAATTCATTCACCAATGTTTTACCAATCTCCCCAAGTAACCATAGGCACGTTATTTCGCCTTTTTGGCTATATACAACTGAACAACGGCTACACCAGTGTTTGCACCCAGACAACCAGAATGCACGTATATACAAGGTTGTTTTCACGATATAGAAACATATATACAAACCAACAAATCGTATAGAATGCAAATAAATGGCTAATACGTACAAAAGTGGAGGCCATATACGTGCAAATTTGAATTTAATTTTAAACGAGTAGATTTAACATCATATGCGATTTAATCTGTAATAACAAATTCACTTTGAAAAGTCTTACGATGTAATCCGATTTGATTTGTGATACAGTACGACGGAAAAATGAATCATCGCATATAGGTCAGAAATTTGTATTCTATACGATTTAACTTAAACATAATGCGATGCATGCCATTCTTATATGCGATTTTGACTTAAACTGTAGCAATTTACGACAATGTCTGCAAATTGTTATACGACTTCTGGTTGTCTGGGCAAGTTCTGATGAGGCCCGTACATAGCCAAAAAGGCGAAATAACGTGCCTATGGTTACTTGGATCATCTAGTTAACACCTACTGAACATTTGTGTTTTTAGGGCTGTTTAAATTTACTATGAAGGGCTGTGAGTGTAAAAAGTCCCAAATAAAACTACATATTATATAATAGGTATACATAATTTTACTGAAATCGTCATCTAGCTCAACAGTTCTTCTAAAGATT